CTGTAATAAAGCAGATATGAGCAAAGCCTCATGAGCACACAGAGGTGAAGGTACAACAGCAGGACATGGTATTATTACAAGAGAAGCAAACGTTAGAACACAGCAAGTTTGCAGCAGAGGTGGACTGCAGTGAGCAAAGGAAAAAGCATGCCTGGTGGACACATAGACCCACACATTCTGCCAGAATTCAATTCAGCTAGACCAGCACACAATATCAAGCTGTACAGAGTAGAAACAGGGACATAGATAGCTTGGGGATTGGTTGGGTTTTACCATAGGGCAAAATAAGATGAAGACGGTGATAAGGAATTTGTAACACCCCATGTTAACAGGTCTTAAAGAAATTTCCATAACACTCAAAATCTGGAGACAAATAGACTTCAGCATAGTAAAAGAAAAAACCTAAACGTGAACACTGTCTTTTTAAGATGTCCAGCGAATGAATCTTGGATGCATTTAGTCTATAGGGAGGAAAAAGACCCAAACTTCTCTTTCCAATTATAAATCCAAAATTAAGAGGCTCCGATTGAAGGAAAACAAATTATGGAAAAGGGAAAATAACAGCCCTTTATTAAAAGGTATGTGTGTATTAACAGGAACACGGGAAAAATAAAAAAAAAACCCCAAGTGAAATAACTGGCACACTCTATACCCACCAATAATCTCTTTAGAACAAAACCGATACAAACTGCAAAAGAAAATAGTTCAATTTCTTTGCACCCTGTGGTGCAGTTCCAACCACAGTCAGCAGGGGGCGCCAAGGCCGGGTCAAATTGGAGATGCAAAATTTGTACTGTCCTGTACCATTCACCAGGTGGCGCTGTTGGGTCACTGAAGGTGTAAAACTTGTAGTCCCCATTGTGGTCACCAGGTGGCGCTGTTGGGTCACGGAGGAGTAGAACTTGTAATGTCCAGTGCCCGCCACCAGGTGGCGCTGGATCCTTGGCTGCCACCGGGAGGGGGGGGAAGGGGAAGACAACAGCAATAAAACAGAAAGTTCTCCAATGGAAGAAAACCTACAAAACTTCAGCTGATTAGGTCCGCTAGGCAGGGCTGCAGCCGGTGAGCTAAGAGCAGCAGCCAGAAACCCCCTCCGATAGAAACAAAGGAGCCTGTGCAGTGTTCGTAGCCAGCAGCCTCTCACCCCAGAGAGAGAGAGAGCCTCCCCACCCCAGCCTCTACCTCCTCTTCGTTGTCAAGGCAAATTCATCTGGTCGTATTAAGGCCTGGAGCTGATTCTTTGTTTAACTAAATGGCTCATCACAGAACACACACACACACACACACACACACACAGGGCAGGAGGAAAGGAAAGAAAAATTCCTTGCTAAAAAAAAAATACGAACTATGACACAAGACTAGGAATTTAAACAGTCCTTATATACAAAAAAGGTTACATTTAAATGCAGGTACAGTCAATGATAGGATAATGTCAGCATCCAGGCCTTTTCTATAATAAATGTGTATTTTACATCAACACTAGAAAGAAAAGGCTTAAAACTACTGAACTCAATAACAAATCCACCAGCAGTAGAATTCATAAAATGAAATCTCACATCAGAGGAAACTGAGAAAAGGTGTACTGACTAATTTATAATCTCACCAAGACTTTGCAAAACCATGTTATCTACAAGTACTGCTAATCATAAGGGTTAGAATAAAGGAGAGATGACAACTTCCTAGGGAATTGTATAGTGGAGGTGGAGGAGCCCTTGATGTGGGGGAGAAAAAGAGAGAGACACAGACCTAAACAGCTCCTTGAAGAAGGAGGATACTGCTGTCTACTCAGCTTGGGACACCAGCTATAAATCCTGGTATCGAATACATAAAATAAAAAACCCAAACACTGTGCCAGTGTGCTGCTTCCCAAATCATTGGAAGAGACTATTTGAATTAGAACTATATTTTAATTGCTGAGTACATTTGAATTATGTAAGAGAAAAAGAAGAGTTAATGGTAAAGCTCACTGCTTTCTACTACTACCAAGATTTATTTTATATGTTTCTGGGCTGTTTTAGAACTCCCAAGAGACAGATTATTCACAAAGGGACATTATTTCTGACATTATTATTATTATTATTATTATTATTCCTCTGTGGAGTGTCTCTTGACTTTCTGCTAATATTTAACCTAGCATTTTAAAATTATTTTTATTTATCTGCTACTTGAATAACACCCATGCACAAAACATCAGAAAGCCCTTATTCAGTGAATTAGTTATTCACTACATTAAGGTAATCTAGCTGTTTTAGAGACGTTACCACATTCTTTGTAAGTTAATCTTTATCATGGAAAATGGATAACTCACTGGAGGTCAGGCAGGATGGCACAATACACTAGGTGTGGTAGACAGGAATGTTATTGGGCAGGTTGTAACATTAACAGGAGTAGCAAAATCAAAAAGTTAGCTCACAGCAAGAGTCATCTAGGATGCCCTGAGTATGAAGTTTCAGAGAAGTTTTTTGAAGTAGTAACCTAGACTAAACGATTTTTATTAGGTCAGCATACATTTACTGCTGTAAGCCCTGGCATGCATATCTCCAGGCTACTACTCAGAGCTCCTAATGGTGGTATTTTTTTTACTGAAATTATTGGTTTGAAGTTTCCCTCCTTATTTACCTACACGCATCTGGGCTCCAGTAAGATGTGTTTATTGCCAAGATGTGGAAGACAAGCACTAAGCCTGGAGCTCTGTTACCTGTAACACCAGGATGATCCCCACATCTTTGTTGGCATCCCCACACAGCAGCCCTGTAACTCCTGAGCTTTATTTTCAGTTTGAGGGTGAGAGAAAAAGCTATCTGTGTTACAAGTTTGGTCAGGAAGAAAGCAGAAGGTACAGGTTGGAAGCTATGATTGTGTTCCCTTTTTTGCCCAAGAGATAAGTGTAAACAGGAGAAAGTTACTGTCAATGTTGTCAAGCCAGAAGCCAAATGGGCACTTCAGGCTGAGCTCTGGGTATGTATACATGGCCTAATGACTCAGCTCAGTGCTCCATGCAGGCCACCCAGTCTGCTGAGAATCAGGGCATATCTGGTCAGACGAAATTACATTACAAGCCAGCCCTCGTGGTTTAGAATGTGGTTAAGAACTGGATCTGGTTCCAGTATTTTGTATTGAACTATATTGTACTGCATGGACATCTTCTGTCTTCCTATTATAAGGCTTGGTTTTTCTGGGTTGGGCATGAAGTCTACTACTGAGAATACCTGTGCTACATCTCTTTTTTAAACAAAAATTCTAACATGTCTCTCAACAGTCCTGTAACCTCATTTAATTCATCCTCTACAAATACCACCTTGCAGCATTTAAGGCTAACCAAGTATCTTGCTATCTCTGTCAAAAGCCTGGAGTTATTATTTTACTGGAGATCCTTAGCTTCCTGTTGTTGTGTTTTATTACTATTACACAGAGTACCTTATCACATACCTTGGGGAGCAGTAAGTTCCTGTGTGACATACATCAGCACACAGTGCTGCAAATCTCCCTGGAGCTGACATCCAGCCAGGATCACCTCTGGTAGATCACTCACCAGCAAACTGTGAGGGTGCCCAAGGCCCCAGATGATACTACCAACCTGAAGAAATCAAATATCTTGAATGACAGCTGAAAATAGGTGTACAGCCTTTACCACCCTAACCCCTCTACAGGCTGCTGGAAGACCTTCAATCCTCGAAGCACTTTCTGTAACTCAGCCCTGCAGTTTTACTCGGATGCCATACATCCAACTGATTTCAAAACAGCTGGGTTTGACACAGTAGGATGGTTTGAAAAACACCCCCAGTCTGCACAGCTGCCAACCTTTGCCTTCCCCCTTCCTTGTCTGTTTGATCTGCCCTGGGGGCAGTTCCAATGACATCCTCCTCATAAATAATGCCAGCTCAATCAGCTCCTGAGGTGCCCCCTGGTCCTCTTTGCTTTCCCCCTCTTCCCACCTCCCATGTTCCCATACTGTTCCTGACAGCCCCTGAGTAATCAACACAGGTAAATAAGCCCTTATTCCCAGGACCCACAAAACAGGCTCTTGGATAAACACTTGATCACAAAATCACACCCATCTCTGCCTCTCATCCAGAACTTCTCACAAAGCTTTCCAAGTCTTCATACCAGTATCTAGTTTCTTTACTCTCTGGAAATTTTCCATTCCCATGATCTCTAGACCTCTGAGAAGGGCTTTGGATCAAACCACTTCTTCTAGGTTTCAGCTAGCTTGTTGCAGCTGGTGACTCCATGTCTCTCATCTGCCAGAGATAAGAGTCAGCCTGTGTCAGCAAAGTTAGCATCCCTCCTTCAGCACTGTAGGAGCATTGTGTATCATAGCACTTTCCTCATAGCATTAGGCAGCTAATGAAGTTTCTGCAATGTCTGCAATGCAATTCCTAAAGTGTTCCACAGGAGCAGGGGGATTTCCAGCAGCAAGAGCATAACCGCAGCTACCTCCAAAGAGGGTGATATACTAACCTGCCCATGTCACACCTTCTACTTACCTTTCCATACCTCTGCACCTCTAAAACTGTCTAGGTTCAGGTTGTGCCAAATGCTAGCTAAAAAACTCATGTCGTTTCTGCTATGACAAAAAAGTTTATTGAAACTACAAGAAAACACATTTAAATACCTGTTTTAGATTCTACCTAGCAGATTCAAAAATGTTGCTCCAATACACTGGGTTGTTTGGAATGGGAAACTGGAAGTGTACAGTGAGATTTAGACTTGCCAGTACTCTTTGGCAGGTGTGAGATGGCATAGAAAGGGCAGGGATTTTGTGGGAGAGCTCATGAGTTGAGGTAAGGTCACAAACCCTACCACACCTGTATTCAGAAATTTGAAAAGGAGAAGGAGGCAGCTGAGGGCTTTAGGATATTATCACAGCCTGTAGTCACTGGCAGGATTTCACAGGCTTTGAGGAGTGAAAGGGGGAAAAGAACTGGTTGGGACAAAGACACTTTCAGCACAGGTAATGGAAACTGCTAATGAAGGAAAAAGGGAACTAAAAGGAATGATTAAGAGTTCCAATATTTTATTGGTGAGTTTGGCATCTGGTTAAACAATACATACATTTGAAACTGGGCATCCAGTAGCTCTCATATACAAACCATCACAGTACCTTGGCAAATTCACAGTGCAGAAGGAAAAGCCATTTAAATGCTGCAGGCTCCCAGGAGCAGGGCAGACAGCAGTAGGTAAGCAGGTTAGCTTACCTAACTAATAGAAAGGGGGTGGAGGGGAGTGTGGGATATCCAGCTCTAGGCATCTGCTTTCCCTAGCTCAAATTAACCAACTAATTTCCCCAGGTGCTCTATATAGAAACAAGCTTCTCCAGAAGCCAATTCACTGCACAATGTTATACTGCTGCTCTGCAGAGCTCCTGTGAATTTATTCTCTGTTTCTTAGAGGAATAATAATGCTCTCACCAGCAATTGCAGAGCATGCCCAGGGAGATGTGTTGGCTAATTTTGATGCCTAGAGATGTGTGAATCTCCGTTCCCTTTGCCTTCCCCCCAAAGCCACCCATTCTGAATTAGCATGTAAACTAGTGTCATTCATCCCATATTCACAGATGAGGAATTTATCAAGAAACAGGACCTTTCACAGGCTGTCATACATAGCAGACAGACACACAGAGAAAATTCTAATTTCATTCTAATCCTAGATAGACTTTCTGCATTTTGCCAAAAATCCACTTTTCCACCTCATACAGCATCAGATCTGCCCACACCATGTTCACCACACTGGCACAGAAGACCATGTGAATGCTCAGTAAGGTGTCCATTTGGGTGGACAAGTGCAGGATCTGCCTGCACAAATCTGCTGCCAACCCACAAGGGTTTCAACCCGTTAGGAGGGTTTTTACTGATTCTAACAGATAGGGTAGATTTAAACAAATGTCACATGCAGAATTCATTCACACATCAAGCTCCAGTCACTCCTAAAATCTGACTGATTTGGAAGAAAATATATGGACTTTACTTCCTTGTTTCCAGCTAAATGAACAGTATCTTACTTCCGAATGAACACAATTTACCCAAAGGAAGACTTTTTTCATCAATATTGACTGGCTGTAATTATGTATCAATTCACAACATGTATGTTCCCTTATTAAAAGATTGCCCAAGTGATAATGTGGAAAGAAAAAGATGTTTCTGGTTTGAAAGAATAACTGCACAGACTGCGGTTTGCTACTATATTAATGTAGCACCAACAGATGCTGCAATTAGAAAGTAAAAGGCAACCAGATGAATTGTTAATAGTTTTGTGCAGTGTTTAAGCTTCTAAACCTAAAATGCTTCTTTAGGGAAGTGATAATATTTTCCTATGTGATCCTGTGACTACAGTATAAATGCTAAAGACGCATTCACACAAGTGTCACATGCTATAACCTGTGCTGGCTTTGGCTGGGGTAGAGTTAAATCGAGTCACGGTAGCTAATATGGGCCTATGTTTTGAATTTGTGCTGGAAACAGTGTTGATAAAACAGGGATGTTTTAGTTATTCCTGAGTTGTTCTTGCATGGCCTCAAGAGCTCTTCTGCTTCTCATCCCATCCTGCCAGCAAGTAGGCTGGGAGTTCGCAAGAATTTGGGAGGGGACACAGCCAAGACAGTTGACCCTAAATGACCGAAGGGATATCCTATACCATAGGGTGTCGTGCTGACCATATAAAGGTGAGAAAGGAGAAGGAAGGGGGGGAAGTTCAGAATGAGGGCATTTGTTTTCCCAAGTAGCCTCTGCGCATGATCGAGCCCATGGGCTCCTGGGATGGCTGAGCACCTGCCTGCCCATGGGAAGTGGTGAATTAATTCCCTGTTTCACTTTGCTAGCACATGCGGCTTTTGCTCTACCTGGTAAACTGTCGTTATCTCAACACACCTTTTTTTCCCTCACTATTACCTTTCTGATTCTCTTCCCTATCCCACTGAGCAAGCAACTGCGTGGTGCTTACCTGCCAGCTGGGGTTGAACCATGACATAACTGCATGGCTATATTTGCAAATTGCTCCATTTTCTACAGTTCTATTCTAAATTTATCACTATTTCTAATGAACTTCCCTGTTTCCAGTAGCACATTAGTTACTTTTTTTCTTAAAGGCGGGATATTTATTATTTTTCACTGTTATCCATTCACATGCTGAATTAGATACAGAACAAAAATGAGGCACAATAATATGCTGCTTCCAGTACAACAGAAGAAAAATATTTAGATTCAGTAGAAAGCAGGCAGGCAAAGCATTAGTTGAATACATGTTCCTAATCTCTGCTGGGAAAAGATTTGCATGCTGGCACAGGACACCAGAGAAACTGAGTGAACTAACATGGCAACTGTCAAGAGACAAGATTTTTCTTCTATTCTGGTTTGATATGAATAAGGATTCTATTTAAAGGTAGATGACTTCTACTGTGAAAACCACCCACCTCCCCAAAAAATGAAACCACACACAAAAGCACCGCAAACCTAACAACTAATTAGAGCAAACACACAGAACAATTCAGGGCATCTGGAAGAAAAGGCCAGAACTGTGGTGGTACAAGTTCTGCATATCAAGTAGAGAGGTGGAAAACTCAACAAGAACTTCATTGTAGATAATACTCCTTTCTAGAAAATAGTACATGAATACCATCGACACACATCTCATTTTCAGACATATCTGGAGTGGGGGGAACACATCTCAGAAGAGAAAATTATATATAGTATTTACAGTTCTCCAGGAAATCCTCTCAGGGATATTTCCAACTGAATCACAAGAAAGCCTGTTGTTGGTAGGTTCCTATCTACCTGAAAGGACAGCAATGCATTGGTGGAGGTGAATGCTGCTTTGCTCTGGTGCAAACCAGAAGGCACACAGTATAGCCCAGGCTCTCCAGAACACCCAGAGAGTCTAGGAATCACAAGTAATTGAAAACAAGGTAATAAAATAGAAACAGCAACTGCTTGATGGCAACAGTGAGTTCTAGCCCTACAGCTTTTCTGTCTGCCATGTTCTTGCTTCCCTAAGAGCAGTCTCAGGAATAGATTTTCTCTGGCTCTTCACAGTACTGTTGGATCACCTCAGCAAGGTCAAGGCACCTCAAAATTCTCCATTTCTCAGCAGCCAGCTCTTCCTTGGATACCTGGCCCAGCAGTTTTTTGGCAAAGAGGTTCTGATCCTGCATGAAAAGGCCCACAGAAGACCTTGGGGCTTGAGGGAAGTTCTCCAGGCAACCACTTGTGAAACAGAAGTTGATTTTCTTTTCACGTCTCATCCCTGGTCCCCTTTCTTCAATCCAAGTCAGAGGTCTAGTGTGAAGGAACAGAGGAAGAGTATTTATTAAGAAATGAAATCAACAGCTCTATGTGCTTTTTTTCTCAATATTTACAGAAAGTGCTCTAATAAATGCACCATTTTTAAATATCAATCATTACATATTCAGGCAACATGTTCTGAAAAACATGTCTTGTAGTTACAGAGCTCAACAGCAAGTAATAGTCTTAACTCTGCCACTTCTTCATGCCATGACTTTCAGCACACCATCTACACTGTCTCCAACTTTGTTTTCCCCATGCACAAAGTGAAGCCAGCAACGTCTAGCCAGCTCACAGGGAAGTTTAATCTGTTTGTTTGTGGACTTGAATGAAAAGTGCAGTTAAACATTCAAATATTTTGTACATGATTCAATCACACCTAATCCCACAAGGCCCTCAATATCTAGTCATTCCTTCAGCAAGAATAAATTTAAGTTGCTCAGGTACATAATGATGTACCTGAGTTGAACAGGTGGCTAGTTCACTCACACAGACACAAGTGTCCATACTCTCTGAACTTTGAAAATATGTTTCTTTCTCTACACTGGGAGCACTGAGCTGATCCTAAAAAGTTATATCAGAAAATGACAATTTTACCTTTTTCTGTTCTCAGGCTGGTCTTTCTTAATCAGATCTATGCCAACTTGATAGCCACTAAACCAAGTACTGGTGGTACTGCCTATTGACTTGCACAGCTTGCACTTTCGCCCCCAACTTCCCATACTGGCTGAGGAAAGAGGAGCCATGGGACGTGCTGCGTCACTTCAGGGTTCTTAGCAGACTCCCTGATGCAACAAATGCTTGCAAAGACTTTGAGGAATGGTCCTCAACACTAGAGACAGTCACAGTCCTCCCTCCTTGCTCTTTTGTCAACTGCCTGAACCACGCCATTGCCTCTCCGCAGCTCTTTCATCAGCACTCACTACTGCCTGTGTTTAGAGGATGCACATTATTTTTCTTACTTGGTTATTGATGGCCCTTCCACAGTCCTTTATGGCCCACTTTAGTCTGCCGTTCACAAATTATGAAGGCATCAATAGCCTGGAAGAACAAATTCTGTCTCCAAGTACTGCCCATTAAATCTTCAATATCATTAGATCTGGAAGGAAAGTCCTTGTCAATCTACCCTGAATGCTTTCTGCAGAGCACTCAGCTTAATGATTCTGCATCTCCCATCTTTCATACTTTAGGATTCATTTTTTATACTTACATCACTGTATCAATTATTCTTTGCTCACCTGTACTGCCACACCACACCCCTCTAAAAACCAAGCACGACCAGATGGACCCACCTGAACAGAATAAAACAACTGGAGAGGAAAAAAAAAACCTAAATCACAGCCTGCAAGAACACACCAAAAAAATCCTCAGAGGACTAATAAATGCAAAGACACCATGGGTTTTAGGAAGTCTCAAGGCTACATGTCACTGCAAGCCAGAATGGTGCTTGAGGGCCATATCACTCAGTGTTTTCTGCGTTCTCATCCTCCTTCCCTGAGGTAAAGGTTGTTCATCTGGGTCAGAGGCTGATGAGCAAGCGAGGCTTTGCTCTGACTTGACAGAGCTGGTTTTATATTCCTATGATAGTAAACAGCCACAGAGGGTTCAGGTCACTGTTATTCAGAGCTGCTATTCAAAGGTAGGTAGGTATGAAGAAACCACAGGGCAGGCATAGGCAAAGATCTCCATCATGTAATAGCAAGGAGTTCACAAAATGATCCAAAACAGGCCCTGCCAGTGCAGGGTCACCTCCCTGGGGTGATCTAGAGCAGATGCACACCAGTGATCAGGCTCAAGTGTATGCCTTCTGCTCTAGCTTGGGTAAACCACTGAACCAGAAGCACAATCATGCAGAGCAGGCAGAATTTAATCAAAATTATTAGAATGACTGATTTAGATCAGTGAGTAGGAAAATGTTGGGTTTACTAACAGATTTATCTTCTTTTGCAATTGGATTTATAGTCATCTTCCCAAAGAGAGGTTGATGCTACTTGATTGGTAATCAAAACATATTCTTTTTAATTACAACAACTTCTACTCTAAAATTACTCTCTTATTTTGCTATAAAAATATCTTGTAAGTCCACACATTATTTAAGCAATTTTGTAGCTTAAGAAACAGGCTTATATTTTATGTCAGCAAACTGTGAAGGGTTGCCGCTTTTCATAGACAACTTATCCATTTTCATTAAAGATTTGTATCAGAGTATTGTCTGGCTACAGATGTATTTAGTTATTTAGAATTGTCAGTAGTGTTACTTAGAAGCAACAAATCCAACATTTTTGATAGCTGAATAAGGCCACATTAAATATGTTGGATATTTAAAGATGAAGAAGAAAAAAAAATTTAATCCAGCATTAACAAACCACCTTTATACTGACTTTTTGCAAAGCAAACAGTCTGCAGAGAAGAAACCATCCTGACTTTCTGTCTTTCCAGATTTCAAACTGGCAGAGTTATCCTAGCTACATTTTATTCAGAGATGAGAAGAGACTTTCTGCTTTTCTGATTCCCTGGTTCCTCAAATAATGAGTGGCCCTTGCTGAACTGTGTTAGCTCAATAAACCAAAATGAAGCAAACATTCTTTGTATGTCCAGAAGAATGAAGCTGGCTTCATGCTTGAAAGAATTCTGGGTACACTCTGCTTAATATTATCTGCAGCAACTTCGGCAGAAAGCATGTATTACATTACTTTTTATGAATGTTCAATTTGAAGCTACTTTATTAGACTCTGTAAGCTTAGATGTCCATAAAAACATAATTTAAAATGTTTATGGTCAGAATATGTCTTCAACTTCTTTTAAAAATTTTCCTTTTCACACTTTGAAAATGCCAATATTTTTTATTTATCATGCAGTCAATGAGGGTCTCCTTAGCCTGGATGGGAATTAGACAGTTGGACCGTACCCCTGGTTAACATCAAAACAGACGATGCCCAAATCATTATCTCTCCAGCTTGCACTAAAAATTGATTTCTGACATTTACTGAATCCAAGCTCTGTAATCCTGGGACAGGAACTGCAGTCCCAAACCAGACGTGTTGGCAGTAGAAGTTTGGCTTTTCCTGGATTGCTCAATGTCCTATCACAGAGAGGCTGTCAGCTCAGCTGTCTTGGAAACACAACAGAGGCAGAGGTCATCTCTCAAATAGCTGGGTGCCAGGCATTAACACACACCTCCAAAATCCTCCCAGAGACAGACAAGCAGCCAGGGTGGGCTGTGCAGCAGAGACAGGCTATACCCTTTGCACAAATCCCTGCTTAACAAGCAGAACACAGGCTGCCGCACTCTGCACCTGCTGTATTTTCCAAGGCAGAAAATAGGATGAATTAACCTGTTTTCTCAAGGTTAGTGCACTCATGTCTTTCAAAAAAGGATGGGACAGCTCTCAGAAAAGGTACAGAGCTTTCCCATCCTTCAGCAAAATAAAGATTGGGCAAATTAGAGCCGTAACACCACCACTACTGCTGCTGGCCCATAACCTCACTTGACAGAGAGTGGGCCAAATTGTCTACTGCAGTAACTCCATTGACGTCAGCAGGGGAAGGTCAGCAGGAAATATGGCCCCAGCACTAAACAGAATACAGGAACGCTATGTAACTTTCCAACTGGCATAAATTATCCCAGAGGCATAAAACTGACTGTCCCCGAAGTCATTAAAACACTCACGGTGACAAAACACTGATCCATACAAGGCCTAAGAAAAGCAGGTATTGGTTAGTGGTGTGGAGCAGGAAAAAAAAGCAAGTAAAACAGAAATAGTTCTGTATCCAGCAAATATCATATACAGCAGCTAAGGACTACCCAGGAGACAGGACAGTGAGGGAAATGTTTAAACCACCCGCTAGTTCCACCTGCTGGAATTAGTTCAAAATCTCACTCTATCTAGATCTTTACAGCTACTTGTGTTACTAGCAAATTGCTAAGAGGGTAAACAGAGCTTGTATACAGAGTTCTGTCCTCTCACAGCTGCATTTTAAAAGGAATTGGAAATGATGTTTTATTCAAAGAGAGAGAAAGATTGCTAAAACAAGATGCTAATTCCAAGACAAACACCACTGGGCTTTGTAGGAGTGGCTGATAAAATGCTTAACAAGACCCATGGTGAAACTAACAGTTCAAAGGAGCCCTGATTATTCATTCCCCAAATACTAGTCCTTCAGGTTATTACTTTACCAAAACAGTTTTCTAAAATTCTGTGTTGGGTTTGAGGTCTTTTTAAGAGTTCTAGCAAGATGTGTGCAACAAAAAAAAGAGCTATTTGTTACAAATTAACATAGGCCAGAATATTTTCCCATGGGGCCCTACTTTCCCCTGCTCTCCACAGTCTTTTCAATATGTCTCTTGTCATATGCCTATAAGGGGTCATCTATGTCAAAGGCAGAGCATGCTATATAGAAAACCAGGAAAACAGGAGTAAAAAGAAAGGAACAAATTGTTCCATCACTCTTCCTACCTCCTAGGAAACACACAGAGCTTGGGTAACTTCTCCATACCTTTTCACATCAGATAATTCTCAAGTTGCATCTATAGAACACATTAATCTGTCATAATCAGTAACTTCAACCTATCTGAAAGGACAAACTCTGTACAGATGGTCCAGAATGACCAAACCTGAGAGTTTTTACCAGACTTTGGACCAAGGTGAGTACTTAATCCACAGTTTGAAACATTGATGACTTTCTTCATAATCATAAATATTTTAAAATATGCTATTTTATAGCAAGGCCATTAAAAATATCCTGTTTGAAAGAAAAGATATTGTTACCATATAGTAAAAAGGAGATCAAACTCAATACTATAAAATGCATCATCGAAAGAGTTTTCTCTTGTACACTTTCATGTCAACATCCAACCATTGTTTCTACAAGAGGAAGAGAGGATGCAGAACCTCTGCAGAGACAATGAGGAGCCTGGCTCATCTGCTGCCACAGCTATTACTCACTTCTTGTTTGCTGTCTGGAAGTGAACAGTCATTCTGGAATAATTCTTCTCCTTCTGCTTTTCTCTGGTGGCGGAGGTAACAGTGAGGTCTCCAAAGAGGTCAATCAGCCAAGTCAGTCGGGCAATTCCACTGAAAGCTGGGAATCCTGATTTGTTTTCATCAAGGACGCTACCTGGTGCAACATAATAGAAACTCTTGAGAAATAGGAAAAAGAATAATGCCTTCTGCACAGGAAAGGATGAAGAAACTGCAGAGTTGTGGACTTAGAGATCTGGTTGTAGAAGGCCATGAGTGGATGGACTGAGTAGTGAAGTCAACATAGTCAGCCTTGAAATGGATCAGTTGGTGACCTGTGGCAGAGAAGGCTGCACAAAGTACATATACAACAAACCCTTCAGGACATGCTGAGGACAGGAGACTATATGTATATCCAACAAGGGTATAAAGCAGGGAGAAAAAAACAGCTAAAAAAATCTCTTCAAGCTCTTCTGGAGCCAAACACCAGTACGGAAGACTAAAGGTCTCCCTTAGAAATTAAAACGCTTCCTGTGCACTCAACCTCCTCTCCGAGACCAATATGAATGAGAAATTTGTCCCTCACAGCAGGGTACGGAAGGTCTGAAGGAGCGCTCTTTCCTCCATACACCAAGGCATGGGCTTGCACCCCTCACCAGATAGCAGAAAGAGAGTAGCAAAGCAACAGTCCGTACTGTTAAGGCAAAGCTGCTTTCCAGACAGTTCCATTATTTCATGGAAATATCCAGAACCGATACCTTTGTCCCTACTCAGTTTATAGACAGACCCTTGTGTAAAAGGACTGAATCATGCCTGGAAGGACTGGTATCCCTGTGGAGCAGGCAGACAAGTCCAGATGTACTTTGATTTCCTCACAGCTACTGACCTGTGAAATGCAGCGTTCCCTTCACCAGGTCTTTCCCAGCCACCTCTTTTTTCAGCTGCTTGTACTCTTCAGTAAGAAGTTCAATGTGCTCCACATGGAGCACTTTATCTGCCAGTAAAAAAAAAAATAAAATTAAAAAATCCACAAACAAACAAACAAAACAAAACAAAAAAAAAAAACACAAAAAAACCACACAACCCCCCCCCCAAAAAAAAACCAAAAAAACCCAAAGCCAAAACAAAAAACCAACCAACCAAACAAACAAAAAAAAACCAACAAAAAAACCACACACACAAAAAAACCAAGCCAAAAATCAGGACAGATTAAATAAAAGCTTTCTGTGTGAATCAAAGGCATGTCTACACAGTGAAGACTTCACTAGCCACCAGTGGGAACTCACTCTCACATGCCATTCTCATGCATGGCTGGCAAAGTGATGTCAGGAAGAAAATGAAACATACGCCCTGTGCTGAGGCATCAATCTGGGTTAAGGATTTTCAGAAGACAACAAATATAAAGACTACAGGAACAGTAGCCACAATGTTTAACAGAAACTCTGTAATGAAACCCAATACCCAACTAAGGCTGAAACATGAGTCTTCAGAGTAATGGGTTGATTAATTCTTGGCCTCTTTTCCTTCACATTTCCCTGTTCTGCATTTTTCCTCCCAGGGTAGTAGGAAAGAAAAAGGAAGGGAAAAAATAGTATAATGCTCAGACCAAGATTGGAACAATATGTTAAGGAGTACCTCCCTCCATCGCAATTAATTGGGCTGCTTTGGAATAAAGGTTATGCAACACGAGTTGAATGTGGCCCTCATTCAATATGTGTTTTTCTGGAAGATTTCCAGGAGAGTCAGTTTAGGCTGCTAACAGTAACTGCTGCTGCTTCAAGAGAAAATGCATAAATTCTGCTCAATGGGAAACCATTTGGCAAGCAACACGACAGTAAGTGGTGTTGGTACAGGCAAACAGCAAAGCAGAAATCCTATACCTCCAGTGTTTCAGGATAAAAGTCACAAAGGAAATTTTTAAGAAGCAGGGTATGAATAGGGCAACTTGCCCAAATAATTTGCACTCCACTCCTACCCACCACTGCTCCTTCCCTTGCAGCTCATTTCAACCCCACTGGCCTCAACTGAACTGCCAACTTCTGACCCTTGTCACCACAGGGATGGGACCACACACTTCCCAGAAACAAAAATATTTTGCTTAGAGATAAATTGTCTTTCAGACAGGGATGCCTTGCTGCCCCGCAATAGCATGAGCAGCTGTATGTGACCAGCACACCACAAACGCTAGAAGCTAGGAGAGCTGTTTACAGTTTCACTTCGAGGGAAAGAGAGGACAGGGAAGTGCTCAAGTCCAATGGCTGCCCTCACCAAGTGCTTTACTATCACTGCGACAGAAGGTTTCTTCTTTAACTGCACTCTCAGTGTCACAAACAGCAAGTATGTTTTTGTGAGGGCAAACATACCTTACTCTGAGCACGGACATTTGTGTTTGTTTCCTTACTGGTACATGTCTTAAATCCTAGATTTGCACATCTCTGAGACAGGAATACTCTCTTGCATGTGATGACTTATAGTAGGTTGGAGACTTGCCTTTGAGTTTGATGCCTGTGGTACTACCCAACAGGCAGTACTTTACACTCTTGAGAATAAATGTGTTACCTTTCTGCTCAGCCATCTCCCAGAGCTCATGGGCTGCCTTAGCAGACAAAGCCATGGGGTACTCAACAAGGACATGTTTCCCAGCTTCTAAAAACATTCTGAAAGGGATAAAAGATCAGCCATTAAAGAGAATTTTATTGTAATCATCTCTTACCACTGTGTAAGTTGCTTCTCATTCCCACAACCAGCTCCATAAGGAGAAATGCTCAGTATGGAGTAACAGAAATAAATGGAAAATTTCCTAGCAAGGATGGGGTGGTGGCTACATTACACATTTGAACAGCAGGGAAACTGGGCTTTAAGTCTTCTTTTTCCACAGAATTCCCTCACTCACCTATATAAAGTCGCTAAAATGCCACAGCATTGATCACTGCAATTTCTAACTTACAGACACCCAAGTAGCTGGAGAGGGGCACTGTCACATTGTTCTGCTATATAATCTGTGAGGAAAGGCTTTGAATCTTGTTTTAAGCTGCCTGTCCATCAAACACAGGCCTAGATGTATGCAAATGGAATTACTTGGGAAATGAATGCATCTTAAATCCCGCTCCCTTCCAGGGCTTATTGGGTGCTCTAGGGAACTCACTATCATTTATTTCAGGCCTCTAGTCTGGCAGTCTCTTTTCCAGTGTCTGTCTGCATCCTCTCCTGCAACAGTTTACATAGTTCCTCTGTGCTTCTAAAATGCAAAGGAAAGGGTGTGAAAAGGAGGGGAAAATCCCTCAAAATACCTGATGGTTTCTTCATGACTTCTGTTCTCTGTGCTGATGAAGGCTGCATGGATCTCTTTGCTTTTTAGAGCATCTTCCAGGCTAATCTGCTTGGCCTCATTGATATTTCCAAAACTTCTCCTGCATATTTAGCATAAATATAAACGAGAGTATCACTGTCACAGTCCACTCTTCACAACTGCATATTGTATAGCAGTACTTAGAAATTGTTCCCAGGGAACACTGTCCCACTGAGCTCAACCAGGTTATAACAAAGGCAGCTTAGTTATCCAGGAAGAGTGTGAGCACTTACAGACAGAAGTGGAGTGCACAAGAGAACCAAACAAATGTGCCAGTGTGTAGGTGGTGGTATCAGTACAGAAACTGGCCTGCTATTGATGTGTAAAGTGCTTTCTGGTTCTGGTATTTTGGTTTTTAATAAGCATCATTACCAAAGAGCCTTTGTAAAAGAGTGACTTAAAAGAGCACTGTGCTCCTATGGGAGAACTTCTCCCCCCCTGTCCTGGACAAAGTGGGCAAAAGCACTTGAGTTGGCAGGGCCCACACACAACTACAAGTACAGACAAGCAGTAGAAGGACAAAGCAGATGCTTGGCTGTGACGGCTCACACCTTGCAACATACACACCATGTCAGTGCTAGGGGGAAAGCTCTTTTGGCCGGCCACTTGAGCACATCTCCAGTTGAAAATGAAACACACACACTCCCCACAAAAGCCCTTTGCATTAATAAAGATTGGAGCAAGCACCTTGACACTATCAGGATAGGTGACAGAAGGCATGAAAGCAGGCCACAGGCAGGACTTGAAAGCAGTCAGGTAATGTTTGCATGTGATTGGGATACAAGCAAGATGACTGTGAATCATGCATTTCAACAGCACTGTTTCTTAAAAAAGTAGTGGAAACCCTATTTTCAGTGCTCTTCAAGGCTAGCTGTAGCACTGGCAGAGGCATCAGAGGACAAAAGTGTATTTGGCAGGGAGATAAAGGGAATGACCTAATGAGTCAATTCAGTCTCAAAACAACCCTGCATGATTTAAATATTGTTGAGAATATACATTCACAATCTGAGATCCATTCATGTACTGCCTAACTATTTAAAACTTTTATGCTCCACTGTAATGGGGTAGACAGTGTAGACAATGCTCAGAGGAAATACATACTAAATTTCTACAGCTCCAACCTAGTGAGAAAAACTGCTGATCTCTAAGAAGCAACCTTATTGTATGGGATTTTCTTTAAAGGTATCTACAGGTTCAATACCTGGCTTAAAAAAAATTACGATTTTATTATGGAGTACTGGGAGTTTTACAGCATATGTTTTTGTAAAAAAAGCTTTTTAAAACTCTGTAAAACTTATTTTTTAAAACATTTCTACAAATGTTATTCAGACACTAGGTCATTAATGTAGTTGTTGTCTGCACTATCTTAAACCTATAGGAAATTTCAGTCAGAGAGAATTGCAATTTCTTCTTATCATACAGATCCTGCAGCAAGAACATCTCTCAGCTTTTATTTTAGTAATTTCTGAAAGGTATTTCACTAAGGCAACCTATTTGATTCCTGTTGCAAAGCTTTCTGTGCTCATTTCTGAGCTGCCACTCAGAATGACAGGCATAATTGCATAAACTTTCCCTTTTCAGCCAGCCTTAATTATAAGAGAAAAATAAAACTTTGGATCTCATCCCTGACCCCCTCAGATAGTTGTCCTCCACCTGGAAAAATACGTGCATCAGAAAAATGAAACATTGCAATATACATATTAAACATGCTAAGATGAAATTTCTAACCTGGATACGAATCCAAGGAGTTTCAGGTGCTCAGAAGGGCTGGAAGGCATTGGATTCATCAGGTCTCGGATTCGTGCTAAGCCAGCAATTCCAACTCCAACCACTACTGTCCCAAACATTTTGCTAATCTGTCCAAAAGAAAATAAAAAGAAAAAAAAGGCAACATTTGTTTTGGGTTTTTTAGCAGGGAGAAGAGCATCTGCGAGGAAAGGCGGGAAAATGGGTTATTCTTGAACCCTGCTTTCATACAGCCAAACCTTATTCAGGTGTCAGCAACAGCTAACAGAGATGTGATGCTGTATGCTACTGAGCTCACTTGAATCCCATTGAAATGTGGTCAAGTGGTTCAGCCTGTCAAAGGACTGGTCTTGAGACTTGTATTTAACAGGTATTAAATCACAGCTCCAGCAAAGTTCTTCCTTTCCGTGAATAGAAAGCAGGCTTCAAAAGTGAGACATTCTTCTATTTATACTGCCACTTCCAGCCTGGAAAGGAGCCAAAAGGTTCTGCAAAACCAGCAGAGCTTTATATAAACCCTGCTGACTTCCTGAGTGTCTGCAGCACGGCCTGCCCCGGGCTGCCACACAGTCAGTCACAGAGCACAGCAGCATAGCTGGAATACTTTGGGACAGGAAGCAAAGAGCGTCTTTTCTTCCTCCACGTAACCACTGGCACGTCCTACCATGTCAGGCTGTAACCAACCATCTAATAATCTGGTCAAGATACTTGCTTGACATTTCCATGCGCAAAGAAAGCTCTGCCAACTCTTTAATGACACGCAGGCATGTCCTCAAGATCTACATCTCCCAAATGCACATTCCTGCCACAACTGCATAATGTGGAGGGCAAGACAGGTATTGCACTCACTGCCCAGGCTGTTGGGTACGGGTAATAAATTTTTCTGTTGGTTTTGATTTGCTTTTGATTTGCTATTGATTTGCAGAAACACTGAGCAATTGGTATAACCTTTCAAACCTGTACTGCTCCAGCACCCTGAAGACTAGTAACACTTTGTAAAGTACTTAGAGATTTATATGAAAAACGGCCTAAAACAAGTCAGGTCACATCCTCTGCATTTTTTATTCCTTCCATCACATAAAAACACCCCTTCAAACTCTGTTTCTTCTGTCTTCTCCTTCCCACCACTGCCAACCCCTTCATTTGAGTGAACTCTTTAGACTGTTTAGATTTACTGCAGCCCTTCACATCCTTCTGAGACCGAAATGGATAAATGGACAGTGTAGCATCACAGCCGTAAGTGACTGTTCTGGCAGTGTGAGAGGTTGACAGCTGCTAAGAAATTACATCAACTGGCACAAGGAAAAAAGATCCCCTCTCCAATCACATGGCTTGTCTGGATTTTGTCTTCCTATAAGCTCCTGCCTATATTCCTGTCAGGGCAGAACTCCATTCACTTTATATATGCCAAAAGGGTACAAAGATAAAACACAGAGCAGCATGTTTAATGTAAAGGAAGAAATCAATGATACATTGAAGAGTCCTCTATGGGCATTACAGCGACATTTCGTTACCAAATACTTGAGGTATAACGTGATGACACTGTTCACCAGACACAAAGAGGGCTGAGAGAGAGGCGGGGGAAAGGAGGGTAATATAACCACACAACCCTGCTTCTTTTCAGTACCAGCCACAGGCAGAGTCTTGGTCTGGGCTCTGTTACATTTTCTTTTTCTGTGGCCAAAGAGAAAAGAGACCAAGACTTTCAGAATGATCTCAGCTGTGAGGAGGCCCAGGAGGTCACCTGATCCAAATCCTATTCAGTTGCACCAGGGCCATGCTGAGTTCTGATCGTCCTCACGGTTGGCAATAGTCCAACCTCTCAAGCCCCTGCTGCAGTGTTTGACCATTTTCACAACAAGAACTTCTTAGCATCTACATAAGAGTTTCCTGTGTTGCCTTTTGCCATTTCACAGCACACCTCCCAAAAGAGTGTGGCTCCAGTTGCTCTACATGCTCCCACCAGAAAGCTGTAGGCAGCAGTAATAATCCCCTTCACACTTCTTTTCTGGAAGTGGGACAAACTGAGTTTCCTACACCTGCCCTCATTCATCATCTCCTCGAGCCATTGACCATCTTCATGGCTCTCTGCAGGACACACTTCTGTATTTCATCAGAGAATCACAGAATAATTTGGGTTGAAAAGGACCTTAAAGATCCTCTAGATTCAATCTCCACCCCCCACGTGCAAGGACACCTTTCACTAGACCAGGGTGCTCAAAGCCCTACCTAAACTGGCCTTAAACACCTCCAGGGATGGGGCATCCACAGCTTCTCTGGGCAACTTGTTCCAGCGCCTCACCACCTTCATGGTAAAGAATTTCTTCCTTTTGTCTAAAGCCATTCTCCCTTCTCTTACCCCTATAGGCCCCTGTAAAAAGTCCCTGGAAGGCTGCTATAAGGTCTGCCCAGAGCCTTCTCTTCTCCAGGCTGAACAACCCTTGAGGAATACTCCTCATCACTTGTCTCCACTTGGATACTGTGCCGTCGAGTGCAACCAACCAACCAATTTCTTATCCACTGAGTTAACTTTCCATCAAATCCATGTCTCTCCAGTTCAGACACAAGGATGTGTGCAGGACAGTGTCAAATGCTTTGCACAAATCCAGGTAGGTCCCATCAGTTGCTCTTCCCTATCCCACCAACACTATAATCCCATCATAGAAGGTTATGAAATATGTCAGGAACTATTGGCCTTGCCAGGTCCACCATCTGCCAGTTCCCTCAGAAGCCCTATGCACTTGTGCACTTTCAGATTCCTTAGGAGAAGGTCAGGTTCAAAAAATCTACATTCTCTCAGTCCCTGCCTTTGCCTTCTGAGACTCAGGCAGTGTGCCTGGAGCACTTGCCAATAAAGACCAAGGAAAAAAAGTCATTATATACCCCAGCCTTTCCGTATCCCGGGTATCCAGGTCTTCCATTTTCTTCCAGGGAGGACCCACATTTTTCCTAGTCTTTCTGTTATCATACCTGTAGAAGCTTTTCTTGTTGCCTTTGACATCCCTGGTCAGCTTTAATTCTATCAGGGCTTTAGCTTTTCTAATCTGCTCCCTGGCTGCTTGGACAACCTCTCTGTATTCCTTCCATGCTACCTGTTCTTGCTTCCATACTCTGTAGGTTTCGTTTTTGTGCTTGAGTGTGCCCAGGAGTGTACCTTGTTCATCCACACAGGCCTCCTGGTGTTTTTGCCTGACTTCCTCTTTGTTGGGATGCATCTCTCCTGAGCTCAGAGGAGGTGATCCTTGAACCCTCATACCAGGGTACACAAAACTGGACACAGCACTGCAGATAGATGCAGCCACGTCCTGTCAGCTACACTCTTGCTAATGCAGTCCAGGACACGGTTGCCCTTCTTTGCCACAGGAGCATGTCGTGGCCTGAAGTTCAACTTGTCCATCAGTAGCTGCAGGGCAGTTTCTGAATTTCTAGCCACACAGTGCCCAACCTGCACTGATGCAAAGGGCTATTCTACATTTGCTTTTGCTGAACATCATGATGTTCCTGTCTGCCCAGGCCCCTCTGGTGTATTGACTACTCCTTCCAGCTGGTTTTCAACTGGAAGTCAACAGACTTACTAAAGCTACACACTTACCAAAGCCACACTCCAGCCTATTGTGCAGGTGGTTAATAAACACACTAACAGTATTGAACATGAGCATGATACTTGCCCTTTCCAGTCACCAGGGTCGTCCCTGATCCCCAAGTGGCTTCACAGTGCCATCAAGCAAGTCCCTAGCACTCTTGGATGTACTGTGTCTGCTGCCAGGGGCTGCTGTACATCCAAGAGCTATATCACCATCTTCCTCTATTGTGAGTGATGCAACATTCTCACAGAGTCTGTTAGTAGACTCAGAAAACCTGGAGGTCTGAGGACAAACCTTACTAGTGAAAGCCTTGGGTTTTTGTGTTGGAGCGCAGTCAGGAGAACCCAGTCGATCCAAGCCAGCTTTCTGCCATGCTTGCCTCTGCTTCCAGCGCACTGAAGTCAGGAACCTGTGCTCTGGGGAGGTTGTCCCTGTAGATCAACCTCAGCCTCTCTGGCCCCCCACGACAGTCTGCCATAAGTAGGGCCATCAAAAAGCCAAAATATCTGCTATTCTGAAGTATATAGTTGCAACTCTTTAAAATTTATAATTCATAAAGGGCTCCAAGTGTACATCAGGACCAGGTCAGCAGAATTTAGAAGTAGTCCAGTTTGAAAATAGGAGCTTATTCTACGTTCAGAAATTTTCAAGGTTAGTAGAGTGTTAAGCTGTTAATATTTGCCTATTGCATTCAGCCGGATTGGGAGCTGGAGTCACACAGCAAACAAATCCCAATGAAATTCCTACAGCCATCTCGTTTCCAAGAACTGCTTTTTTTTTGCTGGTAAGCTGCTGACCTCTGCTTCAACAAAGTGGATAAAGTGGGGAAGATGACTACCTTCTTCAATGAACAAAGAACATCTCTCTGCAGATTCTCAGGTCGCTGAACGTCAGTATTTTTGCCTCTCCTTTGAAAAAAACCTCTCCTAGTTTCATCTGATGAACATCTTCTGACCTCCTCAAAGATAATATTTAAGATAAGCAAGATTATTTCAACCTAAGAACAAAAACTGTTACTATGCAACCTGTTGCCATAGCAACCAGCCATTTGGTCCAGGTCAAGGGCGGTCAAGGGTTTGGAGGCTAACACCGTATCCATACTGAAAGAGACACCTACCAAATGTATATTACAGAACCATTGTTTATACACATAGCTAAGAGAAAAACTGCTATGTTTGCATCCCTGCTGTAGCTTTTTATTACCCTTATTTTGCTCAGACAACAAAATCTGCAGCCGCTCAGGGAGAAAAGTAAATTAGATGTTTTTCAGAATTGTTACAAACCAGGTAAGCACAGAATAGAAAATATTCATCTGATGAATATATAAAAATTTACTTCTTATTTCAAACCTTTACATGCTACAGTTGTCTTTCAAGAAAAAAACTGAGGAAGTAGGAAGCCCAACTCATAAACTGCTGTGCCTGCCTTTCATGCTTTTTTCTTACTATCAGTGACCTCGGTTAAAGCTTTGACAAAAAAGATTTCAGAGTAATTTTCAAGGCTGCTGGGCTTTGGCTCCCATCATA